ACATATATATACACATATATATAATATATATACATGAGAATATATATATACATATATATAGATGAGAATACATATATATACACATATATATAATATATATACATGAGAATATATATATACACACATATATATAGATGAGAATACATATATATATACATACATATATATATACATACACACACACACACACACATATATATATATATACACACATGAAGGATGTGTATATATATATATATATACAGGAAGACAAGCCCCAAATAGTTCACATATTTTTATGAAGTCTCTAATTTACCACAACAGATAATCCCAAATAACACGCTGGCAACAACCTACCAGAGCTTAAAAATAAAGCCCTGGAAGGGGCCAACTCCAACTGAATTTCCATGTTTTTCAAACATCAGGCAGCATGAATGGAAAAACCTGCCTATCTGTATTTATGATATGAGGGCCCAGGTTCTGCTTGGCCACATTTTTCTCCCGACTTAGGCTGGGTTTGTTTCCTTTGGCAGAGGAGGGGGGAGGATACAAGGCAACATTATCCTATGGCTCCCTGGATCTAAACCTTGGGAATATCACCATTTGATCCGGCAGGATTTGTTGTGCAAACAATTGTCAACTGTGCCGCTTCCCTCACTTGGGGATTTTTCCTGAGCCAGGCAAACCAAGGGCCCCAATATTTCAGCTTTTATTTACATTGCAGGCCTCTCCTCCTTCAGCAAGACACCAAAATAATTGTGTTTTTAACGCCACTGAAAATGCAGACTAAGCAAAAATTATGACAATATATATATTTTTAATCCCAGGCTTCAATTTTGCCTCATATCACGATAATGAATTAATATACTCCTTAATATAGGTTTAAGATACCAGATGTTGTTGCACGATAAGGGTTTTTAAAATACTGCTTGCTTACTTTAAAATGTTCTCTGGAGAACAAAAAATATCTATGGAAAAGAAAAATTGCATACTGAATTTAACCTGAGTAATAAATGAGATTCTTTTATTCTTTCTTGGAAACCTAAAAAGGAATTTCCAAGCGTTTCACCGTTTGGTTTTCGAGTCCATTTAATGCTCCTGAAAGCGAATATTTCAGGTAAAACCCATTTAAACAAACAACAAATGCAGCTTGGGCATGTCCAGCTCCCTCTGCCACGTCCCTCAGCTCCAACCCAACGGAGCAATGATGGAAACTGCTCCACACTTTGTCCCTCAGCCATTCCCATGGGAAGGAGAGGAGGCAGAGGAGATTTTTGGGGATGGGAGCACCTGTCAAGCTGCAGATAAACCGAGCTGAGCAACTCAGCTCACAAAGGTCTATGAATAGCCCCTGATTCCTGCTCCCTGTGCCAGATCCAAACAACAACAGGGAGGTGGAGGGCTCAAAACACAGAGCCTGGGAGCCAAAGAGTTTAAAACAGGGCTTAGAAGTTGAAATTATCTATTTTTTACACCTCTTTTATGCCTTATTTTTATATATATATATATATATACACACGCACGTGCATTTGTGTATGCAGCTAACCTCATTTGCATATGTGCTCACACGCTTCATAACATCACAATTTAGGAGGTTTTGACAAATTTTTACCTCTATTTAAAAACAGTGCAAAAGCCTGAACTCCTTTCCAGACGATTCATCAAGAAAAAAAATAATAATAAAAAAAAAATAAAAATTGGTATTGCCCTAATAAAGAACTGGGAGTTGGAGAGAGGAAAGGAGTCAGCACTTCTTCATTTCTTAACTGCTGCTTCTTGTTTTATTCCCACTTTGTTTAGCTCCAGCTACAGGGATCTAAAATTAAGGCCTCTTGAAAGCTGTGTCCAAAATTTCAGCCTTGGTTCCTGGGCAGGCCTATTGGAGACTGATTATTGCACCTCATAGTTCCAAAAAGAAATGCAAAGAAAAGCCAAGGAGAGCCTTTCACACGTTCAAGGAACTCTTTAAAAGAATAAGCAGGTCCTTAATGGCATTAAAAACAGAAAGAAACGGATCCTGTGCCTTTTTATTGTTGAAATCGAGGGTGATTTCCACGATCACAAAGTGATTTCCACTTCCACTGGGGCAGGAATAGGAACCCACACCAACAACACAGAATTAAACCCGCCAAGAAGCCCGAAAGAACAAACAGAATTCCCTGCTTTTCCTGAAGTTTTACCAGGATTTTTGCAAAGGAAGCTCAGCCCCTTTCCAAATTTGAGTCCCTGGCCATTAAGGGATGAGATTCAAGTGCTTTGTGCACGTGGCCCCTTAAGCCCATGGAGACAGTGGGACATTAGTGGGGCTCCAGATGGGCACGAGGGGCCTCCCACCTGGCTGCTGCTTCCCAGGAGGAACATCCAGGATAAGCACTGGCTGCTGATCCAGAAAGCAACGCTGGAGTTATGGACTGTATTCCAGCCACTCCTCTGCCACATGCGAGGACTAACAGGAGGAAAAACAAAAATAAATCTCCTGACAAAAGGGAATTAAATAGCCCACTGAAAACCAAGGCATTCCACTTGGACTGTGACTTAGGCCAAGATCTCCGGGGCTTTTTAACAAGGAAGAAAGACTGATCCCTCCACAACCAAAGAACCCCAGGACTGCAAGAAAAGTTCCATTATTCCAAGTATTGCATCATAAAGATTCTCCTCAAACATCCTCCTGCCCAGTCCAAATAACACCAACACATTCACCCCCCAAAGGGAGGAAGGTGAGGCAGCAAACTCCAAGGAAACACTGCTAAAAGACAAACATAAGTCAGGCCTAAACAGCATTTTTATAGGTCCTTGCTAATTCCAAACAATCTGCCCCAGAGTCCAACCAGGAATACAGGAAAATAACGATTAATTTTCTCTCAAAAGGTAAAGAACTGGAAAATCCACCCGAAGTTTTCCTACGAGCAATTACCAGTTCTAAATCCCTACTGATAACAGCAGCAAAAAGAGCTTAAAAACCCAAATAAAAGGAAACTGTTGCCTTTGAGTGGTAGCTGTTGATGATTCACAGTCTGTCTTAGCACAGGTTGAGGGATTCAATTCCTTCAGTTCTTGGAAGGCTGTGACAGCAGCCAGAAGCCCCAAGGTAGCCTGAGACCCCTTTGTGGGTCCTGCAGAAATGCAGGAACTGCCTCCAACCCCACCCAGAATCCCAGTCCCACCCAGTGGCTCCTTCAGAGGGACCTTCACTCCCCAATCCTCTCAAATCCACCTCTGTCCTTCCAGCACAAACTTGGCTGCAGGAGCTGGAGGCCTATGGAAGCGAAGGTTTATCAGGAATTTTATCTCTAGGATTTAAAGTAAGGGAAGCCCCTGAATTATCCTGCCCGGCTTCGGAATTCTGCTGGAATTCTGGGAATTTTACTGTGCAACCATACTAAACCAAACCATACCTATCTGAGACTCTGAAACACAGAGAGGTTGTTAAATCCCTGTAAGAATTAAGGTATCTCATCACTGGAGGCCATGGAAGCTGGGGGCAGAGCTGCAGCTCCACATTCACAGGGAGCACAATCCCGGAGCCGCTCCAGGATTCCATGGGCAGATGAAAGGAGATCAATGGGATCTCAGGTTGAGAAAAGCAGCACTGTCACGAAATAAAAAAGGAAATTACATCCTTTACTCTTGGACAGGCTTTTGCTGCCCAAGTCCTGCCCGCAGCAAACTGAAAAGGGAGCCCCACGTTCCAATGACAGGGTTTTATACACGGGTCTGTGGAGTTTAACGACCATTATCCATGTTCTTTTCACGTTTAAACCCAAAATTAGTAGGAGCAGAAAGAAAACTCATGGCAAACTATTAGAAAGAACTACGGCCCTGGCTGCTGCCTTCGGTTCTCCACCACAACACCGTCAAATATCAACCCAACTCCGTTTTCCTCCCATCCTTCCCACCCCACCAAATCGAGGATTTCGCAAACTCTCCTCACCCTGATCACAAAACTGCTGCTTCACACAAGACAGGAACGTACGGATTAGAAATGGGAGACACACCAGCACGTCAGGAGAGCTCTTTCTTGTGGGCATCCTCCAGGGATGACACACACTCCCTGCTGACCACCATCGAACCGGGATGCCCCTCTGGAATACACACCCATGGCCTACTCCATGGCCCAGCATCCAGCACTTAATTGACCAAAAACAAACCAAAGCACTCAAACCGCCCTTCTGAAATTACAGAGGACGTAATTAAGCCCCAGGAATAAGCAGACAACAGCAATTTTAATATAAACATCCTACTTGTGGAGAGGACTCCGATTCCAACTTGGCCTTAATGTCCCAACTCTTACTCCTGGATCCTTGCAAAGGCCTCTCCCAACATTTCCTCGAGCCCAGAACTGAGTTTGACATTTAAACCCACCGCATTTTTAACCTATTTCAGACATTTTGACACGCAACCAGCAGAAAACATGGTCAGGTCAGACCACCGGTAGTACCTGATGGAGACATTTGGCCTTCCCAGCCAGCAAAGCCACGGCAAAACAAGATCCCGACATATATATTTGAACAAATCATTGCCCAAATATAGCCGGGCACCAGAGACAAACCAGGGGCTGCCACCAACCACCCCCCGACCCCGCAAACACCGAGCCCAGCCCCTGGGCTGCCTATCCCTGGAAGTTCAGCTGCGGGAGAGGGTCTTTGTACAAGTGGTCTTTGTACCTTAATAACTCAAACAATAAGTCAAACAACGGCCTGAGGCCCGGGGCGGAGGGGGGCGGGGGGGGAAAGGGGGAGCAGCCCAGGGGGGGGCTCGGTGTTATCCCGGGAAAACCCCACTTTGGGGACACTCAGCACCGCCCCGAACTTTGCCACCGTCGCCCCCCCCCCTCCTCCCCTCCCGCACCCAGAGGGGCATCCCCGGAGCATCCCCCGACAACAAAGCTGGGCCGGGGGGCGCCGAGAAGGGGCCGAGGGTGACAGGCCGGGCCCCCCCCGGGGCAAACAGCGGGTAAACAGGGGGGTGAGCAGCGGGTAAACAAACCCCCCCCCCCGCGCCGCCGCTCCCCCCGCACTCACCTCAGGGCCCCCCGGGCGCGGGGAGGAAGGCGGAGACGCACACAAAGGGTAATAAAGGGGGAGGAGGAGGAGGGAGCGGCGCTCCGCGGGGCCGCCCCCGAGGGACGGGGGTGGGGGGGGTGTCTCGGTGCGTTCGTGTGTGTGTGTGTATGTGTGTATGTGTGTGTGTGCGTGTGCGTGTGTGTGAGGAGCGGGGAGGGGGGGGATGTGGAAGAAACTCCCCGGCGGGGCCGCGGGGGGGGGGCAGCGACTCGGGGCCCCCCGCCCCCGCCTCGGCGCGGCGCTGCTTCTTCGTGTGCGTGTGTGTGTGTGTGTGTGTGTGTGTGTGTGTGTGCGCGCGTGTGTGTGTGTGTGCGTGTCCCTTCTTCAGCGGCGCGAACCACCGGCCGTCCCGCCGCCGCCCCCCCCCGCGCTCCTCCTCATCGCCGCCGCCGCTGTCGGGAAGGAGGAGGAGGAGGAGGAGAAGGAGCAGAAGGAGGAGGAAGAGGAGGGCAGGCAGCAGCGGCGGCCGCCACCGCGCATGCGCCCCGGGGGAGCTCGGGAGGCCGCGGGGAGGGAATGGGAGGGAGGGGGGGGGAGAGAGAACGGGGGGTGGTGGTGGTGGGGGGAGAAACTTCCCACAGCGCCGCGCGCGCCGCTCCCGGAATCGGATCCGGGACAGGGAGGAAGGAAGTGGATGATGGGGGAGGAGGGAAAAAGGATTTGGGAGGGGGAAGGGGAGGAATGGACGGGGGAGGAAGTGACGGGAGAGCGGGGAGGGAGGGGCGGGGGGGTGACGTGAGGGGGCGGCGCGCGCGGGGCGATGGGAGCGCGAGGGGAAACCGCCCTCAGGGGAGGGAGGGAGGAGAGGCGGGAAAGCGGCGTGAGGGGACAGCGGGGAGGATCGGGGAAGGCTGTGCGGATGAGCACAGGGTAGGTGAGCACAGCCCCACACAGCCCCCCTCAGCCCGGGCGGGAATGCCGGGGATGCGCCCCCCGCCCATCGTCCACCCCCCGCTCCATCCCCGCGGGCTCCGGCAGCGCTGAGGGCGCCGGCTCTGAGGGAAGGGAGCTCTAAAGGTTTTGAGGGCCCAAGGGCTGGCGGGGAGGGGGCTCGGGTGCTGAGGGGGGTTCGGGTGTCCGGGGGTCGCTGGGATGTGGGGGCCGAGGCGGGGGCTGAGGGGAGGGTGTGCGGTGGTTCCTGCCCTCAGGGGCGGGAGGAGAGGCGGGAAAACGCCGCGAGGGGAAAAGGGGGGAATGGTGAGGCCGGGACAGGTTAAGGCGGGCAGCACCCCCCGGATCGCCCTCCCGAGCCCCTCAGGGAACCCCCTCCCGTTCCCTCATGGTCCTCACAGACCCTCCCAGCCCCCTAAAATCCCCCCCTCTCAGAACCTCCCCCTCTGCCCCCACCCAGCCCCTCATCAGGGTCCTCACAGACCCTCCTGGCCCTCCAAAATCCCCCCCTCAGAGCTCCTACCCCGCCCAAGCCCCCCATGGATCCCTGTAAGCCCTTTAGGGACCCCCATTCCCTAATGGGTCCTCTCAGTCCACCCCCTCAAATCCTCCTCTCAGAGCCTCTCCCACTCCCCAGCCCCCCAAAGCTCCTCATGGACCTCCAAGCCCCTTGGGCCCCCCACGTTCCCTCATCAGGGTCCTCACAGACCCTCCCAGCCCCCCAAAATCCCCTCCCTTAGAGCTGCACCCTCCATTCCTACTGCCCCCCCTCCCAGCCCTTCATGAGCCCTCTCAGGGTCCTCACAAACTCTCCAAGAACCCCCCATTCAGAGCCCCCCCCACTCTCACAGCATTCCCATGGCCCCCCAAACCCCTCAGGACCCCCCAGTCCAATGAAGCCTCTCAGAGCCCTCCCAGTCCCTCCCCTCTCTGGTCAGAAACCACCCTCAGGTCCCACTCAAGCCCCCCATTCCCCTCAGCCCCCTCCATAATCCCCCGAGGACCCCCCCAAATCCCCTTCATAGCACCCTCTGGCATCCCTAATTCCCTCAGCGCCCCCAAAATCCCCCTGAGAGCATTCCCTGGCACCGCTGATTCCCTCAGTGCCCCCCCAAATCCCCCTCAGAGCCCACTCCAAACTTCCCAGTCCACTCATGACCCCTCCAAGGCCCCCTGATCCCTTCAGGATCTCCCCAAACGCCCCTCTGGAGTCATTCAGAGCCCCCCAGTCCCCTCAGGAGCCCTCCAAGTCCCCTTCAGAGCCAGCTTATCCAGAGAGATGCTGGGGTTATTGTTATCCAAAACACCCTAAACATTAATTAAAGTTAAGCACAAATGAATTCAAAAATGCTTTCAGTGTTTTGGGTCTAGCCAGGCAAACTGCATCGTTATTTGTTAAGAAAAAAAATATTCTTTACAGCTCTAAGTCTTTAAAAACAGCCAACATCTAAGTACAGTTTCTGGTGAATGTTATTTGGCGAGTAATATTTAGCATAACCTTTATGTTTTCTGCCTTCTTTCAAGATGAAATCTGCAATGAGTAAACGTAAGCTGAAGGACACCTGTGGAGCAAGTGCTGAGTGCATTTCACAGGTCAGGAACAGCTTCATTCCTGACTTTGGTTTTGAGTTAGGGAATTTTCCATCCTCTGCTACCCACATAATTCCATGGGGTTTTTTTTTATTGGACCAGTTAAAAAGACTTGTGCAGATACTGGATGTAATTTCTGGGGCTGTAAATGGGTTTTGTATTTCTTTCAGCTTCTCTCACCTGACTGTTTCCTTCAAGTGTTACAGTAACAATCTACTTCTTGGATCCTTAATAAAAAATGTTAAGGGGTGTCCTTGTGCTTCTGCAGCTGTTCGTGGCAACAGATTTGCATAAATCTATTTTTTATCTAATTAGATTCTTTATTTTCTAGTTTGTAGGGCAAATGAGGACCCAGGTGACTTTTTTTAGCGGCTGCCAAATGAGTGTTCAGTTTGTTTGTTTGTTTGTTTAACCTTTTATTCTTCTGTTTTCTGAAAGTGGCTGCTTAAACCTGTCCTGCATCTTGTAGGGAATTACCTCTGGGTCAGTGATTTGTTACATTTCCATCTCTTCCCTTCATTTACCTGTCAAATCTATTTATAGCAGGAAAGCTTTTTCACTTGTGAAGGGGCAATGCTGTTCAAATTATTGATTTAAACAGAACAGAGCTGGAAATTAAATCAGTGAGACTTCAGTAGGGAAAAATAAAAGTAACTAAAATCAGGCTGCTCCAGTGTGGGTCCCTCCCATTTTAGAGGGCCATCACTAACAGTTTGCAATTTGAAATTCATTGGCACTGAGCACTTAAATTGGATACCAAATGTTGTAAAAGAATGGAGCACAGAGGTATTTTTGGATTGCTTAAGTGAGTAGTAGAGTCCTTTAAATTCTTAAAAATTGGGATTGCTGCTGCTGAAGTGGCAGGGTGGAATCTGCTGTGGTGCTGAAGGTTGGCTCTTTGGGAATCGAAGATACAATTGTAACTAACAAAGGAGCTGATGTAATTCTGGTGACACAAAGATACAATTTGCCTGAGTTTTCTCTTTTATATAATATTTATACAATATTCTGCCTGCTGCAACTTTATTTTTACCTTCAAGGCCCCCGTGTCATTGAAGACAGCAAATATTTACATGTCACAGAATATTTGCAACCCCACAAACGTGCACATTTCACAATTATTCCGTTGCTATATTTACACTGTTGGAACACTGTGGTGTTGGAAGCACCAAAAATTCTTCTTGGGTAAAAGGAGATAAATTCTTCTCTTTGTAGGTGCAAAAGATTCTACGTGAAAGGTTCTGTCACCGTCCCAGTGCTACTGGAAAACTGTTTGGGATTGAATTCCAGTACAGGTGAGTCAGCAGCCTCAAATAGAGTCATTTCTAATTGAACTACAGGAGAAAAAAAAATCAGGTGAAGGCAGAAGCTTCTGCTGCATCTGTTTTTCAGAATTATACTGGCTTAAATGACCTGCAGCACAGTGCTTCCAAAAATTCTTTGCCTCAGATTTTAAGAGGTTTTGTACAACTATTCCTTGCTGGTTTTGTCAGGCTCTGAGTTTTGGATTTCTTGTCCTTGTTTCACACCTGTAATTCCTGGAACAACTTTATTTATTTATTTATTTATTTGAACCTGAAAAATACTTTTAATGCACGTTCTGAGCCTTTGTTTACTGGCCTGGCCAAGCAAAAAGTTAAATTCTCTTGCTGTGAATCTTTATTTTCACTTCACGTTTCCTCCTGTCTGTTGGCAAGCTGTGTAGAAACTACATTTAAACTTTGGATGGATTATAGAATTTAAATTTAAACCTCATGGGTTTTGAAGTAGAAACCCCTATTTAAAACAAACCTGCTTCTCGGGGTCACCCAGATGTGAAGGGCAGAGTTAGGAAGAAGTGACTTACTGTGACAGTAACAGTGTCCCAATCCCAAACATCTTCCAGATGTGGGTCAAAGTCTGAAAAATAGCAACTGTGTATCCAAAGAACTTGTTTTAAACCATCAGTTTTTTCCCAAGAGTAACTTTGTGCAAGTGGAGTCACCTGATGTGAGCACTGATTTCTTCTACAAGAGAGAAAGTTAAACATTGAATAAAAAGTGTAGTGTTACCTGCATGCAGGTATTTATTTATGTTTATATCCTTCCCAGCTCTTGCTTTTCCTTTCCCAAGATGGATCAGGGCTCTTGGCTGCAGTTTGCTCTCAAACAGGGAGCAAACCCCCATCCTACAGCTGTTCCATGGTCAGTAGTTTTTAGGAGTCCTTTAAATATGGTGTGAGGTGATGAATCTGCCTAAAGGTAATTTAAAGTTGTCCTTTGTCCCTTCTCTTGGGTAGCAATGGAAAAATGAAGCTCACTATTGCTGTTACCATTCACAGGATTGCAATGCCTAAATTTAGGCACTAGATCAGTTTTGTGAAGACTGTCAAAAATGAATATATTCCACCAGATTATTCATTTTTACTGGTTTTCCTCTAATGTGTTAGCCAGCCTTCCTTTTTGGTGTGTGGTACCACAGGAAGCAATCCTTTTCTTAAAGAAAGAAATAACTATTGAAGTCTGTCCTTTCGTGGTGGGGAAAACTGCAGAACTTTATGAATTAGTGACACCCTCAACTTCCTTCGTGTTTTAATATTTTTAACTATTTTAAGAGCTCTGATCACTCAGCCCTCTGTGCTTTATTGCATTACATTTTGCATGGCCTGAGAGGAAGCTGAAAAGGTAGCAGGTTTTCTCTTACTCTCTGAATTTTCCCGAGTTTCAGTGAATGTTTTCTGCTTGGAGGTTTTCATCCTGTTGCTGTTTCCATCCCAGGCATTTGCTGGAGCTGCTGAAAAGAACCACCTTGCATGGAGAGAGTAATTCTGCCCTCATCGTTGGGCCCAGAGGATCAGGGAAGACCACGGTAGGAGCACCCATTACAAGTCCATCAAATTAAGCAAATCCAATTAAACACGAGCTGCACGACCCCACTGAAGTCCTGGGAGCTTCTGGAGCTGCATTTTCATCTCTGCTTCTTTTTAAAGGAGTGGTTCACATATAAATGCAAAACATTCCAGGACTTCTCGTGAGCTAATTCTGTGGAGCAACAACGTGGAGAAATGGGCTCCTTACAGTTGTCTTTGCAATTAAAACCACCTTTTGATCACTCTGTAATTAACCTGCTCTTTCTGTTGGGCCCCCCACTGTAAAAATGACTGGAAAGGCATCCAAAAGCTGTAAAAGTCTCTATAAAAAATGATCAGGTGTCTTAATCCTGTTTAAAACGTGTCAAGGAATGTTGTTTCCTAAATGGCCAGGAGGTATCCTGGTGGTGGTTGTGGTTTCTAAGTTGTATTTTAGAGGAACTCCCTTTTATTTGAAGCATGTGAAGGGATCCTTCAATATTATCACTCAAGTCTTTTATGTTTGCATCAATATATAATGTGCTAAATAGATTGGCTGTTACTGCAGGAGGTATTCAAGATGGAACAATTAGAAAAATTCCACTGGAAGTCTTCCCAAGTGGCCTTCAGGCTTTTAAAGAAGTTGAATAGAAATAAGTTGATAAATGTTAAACATATCCAGGCTGACACCAGTCACCCTGTCACTTTGTTGGTCGCTTGTTTTGCATTTCCAAACCAGTGTTGGCACCTTTTCCTGTTGCCCAAGGTGCTCCAGAGGAAGGATAACCCCCAAAATACCATGGAGTGGTGGTGGGGAAGGAGTTGATAAACCAGTGACAATTAATCTTCTCATAATGAACTTCTGTATTTTTTTTTTTCTTCCCAGTTATTAAATCACGTCTTAAAAGACCTCAGGGAAATGAAACAAGTTAGAGGGAACCTCCTGGAAGTTCACCTGAATGGCAAGTAACTCAGCATGGATCCAATGTTATGTTATATCCAGTTCTAATCCTGTATATCCTGAATATTTATACAGTTTGGTTTCAGCAATTGAGTGTGGCCTCAGTTCTGGGTTTGTCTGTGAGCTCCAAAATGCCTCTCTTTGTGTTTCTCTGTGCAGAGACAACTTTTGTGCTTTGAGTGACCAAATTAAGCAACTTGTTCAATATGGAAAGTTCCCGCCTAGCCCAAATTTTTTTTAAAAAGGCAAAGCTTTGGAAGGCTGGAAAAGGAGGGAGAGAGAAGCTTCTGGGTGAGTTTCTAGTGGGAGTGAAGGAGAACTGCCAGTTCTTCATGAACATCACTTTTTATTTCAGGGCTCCTGCAGACGAGTGATAAAGTGGCCCTGAAGGAGATCACCAGGCAGCTGCAGCTGGAAAACGTGGTTGGGGATAAAGTCTTTGTGAGTATCTTCACTCAATTCCCTCCAAAACCCTTGTCTGGAAAACTGGCTTTGTGGAATGCTTGGAGGAGGAGGAAGAAAGGACAGGCTCTCTCAACAAGCCCCTAAATGGACCAAACTGAAGCACTCCAAAGAGACTTTATTCAGAGGGGTGGCGTAGGTGCATTGGTATTTTTAGTGTGTAAATATATATGCAGCCTTTTCTATTTCATAGGGAAATCTGCCCAGGCTTCCTCAAGCTCTCATTTTGCATGGAATTTCCATTAAAATATTTGCTTCTGTTGACCTTTTCCCAAAGACAAACTCATTTACATAGGTGCTGAATTCAGTCATTAAGATTAAATCTCATTTATTTGAGTGTGAAATAACTTGGGCCACACTGATCAGAGCTACCAGAGCTTGCTGCCCCTGACTCAGGGAGTGTTCTGGATTTGCAGGAATGTTCTTCTCTCCACAGAAACATTCCCTTTTCTTCTGGAACTCGCATTCAGGGAGTAAATTGGCTTTTCTGCCACCCTTGACAGGGCTTGTGCTGTTGGGTTATCCTTATTTCCCATCTCCCAACTGGTGTGTGAGGTGAGAAATGCAGTGCATGTGTGTAAATTTGTGTGTAACTGGAGCAGGATGGTCACAGTTATTTGTTGTTTTCTGTCATGAGTGTTTCGTCCTTTCATCTCTTTTAATAAAGCTGCAAATTAAAACAAAACCTGCATCCTGCTCACTCTCAGTGGAACACAATAGGTGGCACTTTTTCCACGTGTGTAGCTGGAAAATGAGGATGCAACAGCTATTTAAGGGAAGATGAAGCTACTTGTAAATTTAGCCTATTGCAGACATTCTTCTGATCAGTAATTTTTGCCTGTCTGAGGCACTTTGGGGATTTCAGGCTGGAAAAAAAAACCAAGGTGGATGGATGTAGAATTAGCCCTTATTTTTCTTGCTCTGAAGAGGTTGTGATTATACAACCTGAAGTGACAGAAGGTTTTGGAAGGGGATGGCCTTCAGTCCCTGCCTGAACTTCAAACAATTCAGAGAATCCCATCAAAAATCTCTTTTTCTTCTCCGTGCAGGGCAGTTTTGCTGAAACCCTCGCGTTCCTCCTGGAAGCTTTGAGGAAAGGTAAGGAAAAATAAACCTTTGGTGGGAATTGTTGTGCCCTCCCCTGTGGCCAGAAATGCTGCTGGGCAGAACAAAGTCAAAACCTGCCCAGCTCTTCAGTGTGTTCTTCTTTCTGCCCCGTGAAAGGAGGGCTTAGTTAAGAGTTAAAGATGTAAATATGTCAATCACTCAAGCTGTAATTAGTGAAAGCTGTAGAGGGGGAGCTCTGGTGGTGGAGTTACCTGCTGACTTTGCAGCTGCTCTGCAGGAGACCGAACCAGCAGCTGCCCAGTGCTGTTTGTCCTGGATGAGTTCGACCTGTTTGTCCATCACAAGAACCAGACCCTGCTCTACAACCTCTTTGACATCTCCCAGTCAGCACAGACTCCAGTCACCATCATCGGGCTCACCTGCAGGCAGGTAAGAAACTGCACCTCCTCCTTCCTTTTTTAAAGTGCCTTTGGCCTTACCTGGAATGCTTTCTCCTCTCCTGGAATGGTGTTTTATTATTCCCTAAGAGACTTTTCTAAATTAAGAGTTTTTCTCGCTTCGGAATCGGGAAGGATATGACAATAATAATAATTTGTGCTGAGAGCAAACATCAGATGACCAGAAAAAAAAAACCCTGCAGAGCCTTCAGTTTTACTGCAAGAGGAGCAGGTTTCCATTTCTAAGGAGACTTGTCTCCTATTACACTGTTTTATATTATATTATATTTTACTCTTTGGAGGAGCTCCTGGGCATTTCACTTTCTTGGTCAGCAAGAACAGACTTGTTCTTGCCCTTTTTAAGCCCTACAGTGCTTAAAAAAGATTCCTTGTCCTCAGGCCAACGATTTCAGCACTTCAATAGGGCACTTTTCCTGTAACATTGGCACGTTCAAAATGGCTTTAGGATCCACGTTAAATTTCCTGTGATATATTATGTGATTATGTATCTAATCAATTTGCAGCACTTGATAAAGATTAAACTGTTTTCTGAATGAACTGGGTTGCTGGTGAGGAAGAAAAATAATTAAGATATTTGATCAATGCTGAATCTGGGGTTTGTCTGGGTTTAGGTGATACTTTTTGAGTGTAATTAAGGAATTCTTCAGAGCTGCCCCACAGTCACGGTGATAGTTGTTTCTGAGGGGTTTTTTTTTTGCTCTTAAGTGGTTTTTTTTGGTTTTTTTTTTTTTTTAAGCTGTATTCTCTCAGTCCGACAACAGGCCCGTGGTGTGACCACACAGACAACTTGCCTGGAGTTTTGGATGAAATGTCAGGATTCCAGGCTTAAGGAGCTGAACCATTTCCATAATCTGTGGGGAAACGTTGCAGGGTTTCCTAGCAACTGCTGATCCTGTGTGATGTGGGGCATCACGTGGGCTGGGGAGAGGGCTGGCAGGCATTTCCAGGCACAGCAATTCAAACAGGCAGCAAAGCTCTTGTTGGAACATGTGAAGCCTGAGAATTTAATAATTCTTTCTTTTTTTTCAGCACCTTTTACTCGGGTAATTTGTCTGTACCGTAGCAAAGAAGGCACTAAATTAATATCCTTTTTTAATTAGTGTTCTTCCTTTTTTTTTAAATCGAGGATATCCTGGAGCTCCTGGAGAAGAGAGTAAAATCAAGGTTCTCTCACAGACAGATATATTTGATGAATTCCTTTGATTTTAAACAGTACATTAAGATATTTAAGGAGCAGCTTTCCCTTCCTGCTGAATTTCCTGATGAGCCTTTTGCACAGAAATGGAATGACAATATTCAGGTATTTAAAGCTTTTTGTACTTGGCTTCAGTAAAAATTCTACAGTAGGACCAGTTTGTAAGTGTAAAGCTTTTACCTAAGATTGGTACTTCCTTTCACTGTTTGAGTTTATGGAATTAATTAAATTATGATGGAGAATCATTGCTTATTGAAGTTTGGAGGTAAAATGGTCACAGAAAGTTGAGGTTAGACCTGAAGAATTGTATTGTCACCCATAAGCTGAGCTCTTTCAAAGAATTAGTTAACTCTTATTTTTCCAGGTGAGTATAAATTTGAGATGATTTAAATGTCACTTTATTTTTATTTTTTAGCACCTCTCAGAGGATAAAATTGTGCAGGATGTGCTGCAGAACCTTTTCCACCACACCAAGGACCTGCGCTCGCTCTATTTCCTCTTGGTATGTGTTTGGAGATATAGATATATATTTATATATAAAACACCTTTATTTACAACAGTCAATAAACAGCTCTGGTGGTTTTTCCAGCAGGGTTTTGGTTTCTTGCAGCTTCATCAGTCCATTCTGTGCCAGTGGCCGTGGGTAATTCCAGCTCCTGTGTTCCAGGTGCCTTGTAAGGGTGTCCTGTTTAATTCAGGCCTTTGGGTGTTTGACTCTTTCCAAGGCTTTCCATTTATAAAGCAAAAATGTAGGTGAAATACTTCAAACTGCTTTTTCCTTTCTGATACTCTTTTTGGTTTCTGGTGAATCCTAAAAGCTGCTCTTGTTGAAACCTACTTTTTCTGCCATTAAGTCAGCTGTTGCATCCCAATATTCCTCCTCTTTCACTAAATCTGTTCCTGTACTAAACCTTCTTTTTCTTCCTGCTAAACCTGCAACCTTGCTCTTCACATGGAGGAAATGCTTTTGCTTCCTTTTATCACCTCCAGGATCAGATAAAATCTCTTCATGATGAGGCACCACGTTGTTTCCCAGAGCTGGTTTCCTGTCTGGAGCAATCCAGGGAGCCCACCTGCCATCCCTAATTCATCCACTACTCTGACAATAGTCCAAAAAATGGGATATTCATCCCAAATCTTGAGGTGCTGGAGGCAACTAATCCATAGAAACGCTGAGCTGGAAGTTAACTCTGATCTCCCAAATGACCATGTTATCCAACATCAAGGGCCTGAGGAAGCTTCTGGAAGTTTTATTGGTAGTTTGGAATGTTCCCAGTTATCTTAGGGGGGAGAGAAGGAAGGGCTCCTCACTGTGTGGGGGAAAAATGGCCCTGGGAAGACTTCCACGTTCAGTAAGTAGGAGGGAATGCTGGCAGGGAACTTCCCCCATCACCACAATTCCAGATTGTTCCTAGTCCAGGGGCACCCCAGTCTGTCCCCGTGGCCTCAGTGGAGGCTGAGAGTCAACTTCCCAGTTGTTTTCTGCATCTCGTTCTGAACTTTCCCTTTGGAAAGGGGTTTTCCAATAAAAGCATAGGATACAGATAGGAGCAGGGATGAATGAGGAGTTCCTGGACAAACTCTGGAGAAGAGAAGGCTCTGGGCAGACCTCAGAGCCCCTTCCAGGGCCTAAAGGGGCTCCAGGAGAGCTGGAGAGGGACTGGGGACAAGGGATGGAGGGACAGGACACAGGGAATGGCTTTAAACTGAAAGAGAGTGGTTTGAGGTGGGATTTGGGGAAGAAATTAAGGGTGGGGAGGCCCTGGCCCAGGTTGCCCAGAGGAGCTGTGGCTGCCCCTGGATCCCTGCAAGTGTCCAAGGCCAGGTTGGAGCAACCTGGGCTGGTGGGAGGTGTCCCTGTGTACAAAAGCAGGAGTAAAACAGTTGTCAGTCCTTCTCGCAGCAGCTGCTGAAGTGCTGATCCATGGGAATGGATCCAAGCAGGTTCCTCAGGGTTTATCTCCTCCAGTGGGGAAGCTTTGAAGTTTTAAGCTTGGAAAACCTTCCTGGCAAAGGGGGGTTGTTGTAACTCCAGCTATTAGTGAGGTTTTCAATACGTGTACGTGGGAATTCTGTTCCTTAATGTTTCTAGTAGGTGACCGTGGGAGAAACGCGTTGCCGTGCATCCCGTCTCCGGGCAGGAATTGTCTGTTCCTCAGGAATGGGATGAGCAGTGTCCTGCTTGTTTGCAGATGCTGGCTGTCAGTGCAGTGACTGTGCACCACCCCCTGCTCACGGCAGCAGACCTGCAGGAGGCCAGCAGGCAGCACAGCACCGACTCCAAGGCCAACATCGTGCACGGTAAAGCTCAGCCTCTTCCCAAAAAACGCCTCTCAGGAGACAGGGAAGTGTCAGGTCCCTCCCTGAGATCCCCCTGAGGCAAGAGACAGGGATAACCTGAGCTCACTTGAGCTCATACATCTAGGGATAGAACTGCCAAATTATATACTTAAACTTTTTTGTGAAAACGACCCATTTCTTAACATTCTTGCTTCAGACACATGGAAAACAAATGTTCTCTCCAATTCTGGATTTTTTTTTTTTTCCATAATGAAGGTAAATAACACAAATGGGTGAGGCCTGGAGCATAAAAAAATAGAGGAACAGATCCAGTGAGTGAACTGCTTGTGCTTCTGATGTGCTTAAGGGGAACCCTGAGGGCTCTCGTCTTTGCCTGCAGGTTTGTCCGTGCTGGAAATCTGCCTCATCATAGCCATGAAACACCTGAATGATGTGTATGATGGAGAACCCTTTAACTTCCAGATGGTTTACAATGGTGAGAGGAATCCTGAGCTTCACAGACACCAAATCACTCCCTGTCCCCTCACTAATCCTTCTTTTAAAATCTGTTACTGACACAGAATTCCAGAAGTTCATCCAGAGGAAAGCACACTCCATGTACAACTTCGAGAAGCCAGTTGTCATGAAGGTGAGCCTGAAATGATATATTTTTTTTTTTTAATTGTAAAGCATTTAGAAACTGGTTTTATTTTCTAGAGCACAGATCTGAGGGGTCAGATGCAACCCCGGAAGGGAATTGGGGTGTTTTGGGGCTGGAAGGACGCCCTGCTCCCGGCAGGGGGTTTGGGAATGTCTGGCTCCTGGCAGGAATGACTTCACCTTCCCTTCCTCTGTGCTTTAGGCCTTTGAACACTTGCTGCAGCTGGAGTTGGTGAAGCCCCTGGAAAGGCCGTCGGCGCGAGCGCAGCGGGAATATCTCCTGATGAGGCTGCTGCTGGACAACACCCAGATCATGGATGCCCTGCAGGTGTATCCCAACTGCCCCACGGACGTGAAGCAGTGGGCAGCCTCCTCCCTCAGCTGGCTCTGAGCTCCTGGCACAGCAGAGCTCCAGCAGGGAAGTGCCAGTGCCAGGAGAGGGAACGTTACCCACAGGAGTGCGTTTGGATTAATGAATTCTTGGAAGAAGCCTCCCGCGCTGATCCATCTGGGATGGATTTGAAGGAGAACCACGCTGATGTTGTCTCCCAGCGGCCGGAACTGTGACTGACTCCAAGGCTCGGGTGGTTTAGCTCAGCTCGGTGCCAACTTCTCCTCATTGCACACAGTCTGCACTTGGAGAAATCCAACTCCTTGGAGTTTCTCCCTCCGGATCCTGGCTCAGGACACGCTGCCCTCCCCGTTCCGGTGTGGCCCCGGCAGTCCTGCAGCACAGCCACACCAGCCCACCTGTACTTCTCCTCCTCAAATCTGACTTGACCTGGAAAATTTACTCAATTAAATGTGTAATCACAGCAAAATTTACCTAATTAAACCTTTTAATCCCAACAAGCTTCAGCTGCAAATGGTGGTTTGTGCCACCTTCTGCCGTTTCCAGCCGAAGCGTGATGTGAGCAGTGTATCCCGGCACCAGGACGGTGTGGGAATGCCGATGGAGCCGGCTGGGAACGCTGCCCTGGACTTTGCTGTCAGCTCTGGGGTGAGAAGTCCTTTGCAGTCCAAGGGTTTTTGATTTTCCTCTTTGCTTCACAGAGGTGCTGTCTGCACACCTGCACATCCCGAGGGGCAGAGCAGGGGAAGAATCCTGGAATGGTTAGGGCTGGAAGGGACCGAGATCTTCATGATCCAGGTCCTGTAAGTGATGCCACTGCTGCGCACTTTGTATGAGATTTTCCCGCAGCAGCTCTTCTCCAGGAAGGAAAGTGTGGATTCAGCCAACCCCAATCTCCCTGTTTGAGTGGAGCTCATGTAGTTCCAGCTGGCCTTGGAAAATGGGAGGGGTTATCCACTGCTTCCTGGGGAGCTGGGGGACAGGCAGCTCTCAGGGAAGTGGTTGCTTTGCCCATCCCTGGAGAAGGAAGAGGCAGCCAAGCCCTGACCTCGGGCCGCAGCAGTGGGAATATCAGTGGCAGTGTGTGCAATTCCCAACACACGGCTTCTCCCTGCCCTTGGCAGCAGCTGGCACTGCCCTGGGAACAGCGTCTCACCCTCCTCAGTGCACTGCAAATAGGGATAAAAAACAAGGGATAAAATATAGGGAATGCTGGCGTGTCCTGACACAGAAGAGGTGAGTTTTCCCTCAGAAGTGCTGGAGTTGAGGCAGATTCTCCCTTTGCTTCTCACCATATTTGACCTGTAACACTGCCCCTTTCTCTTTTTTTTGCCACAAAACTCCCAGTTTGGCTCGAGAACAGCCCCACCTGTTGAAAACCAGTTTAAAAGGAGGCATTTGCAAGTCAGAGTAGTCACATTTTTTTATTTTCCCGTTGGGGGAATAGGGCAGAGTATACATTTGTATTTGTACAATATTTAACAATCACTTTATTGAGGGTTGGGGGGGAAGGGTTGGTTGGTTTTTTTAGCACTTGCAGAAACCCAGCAAGTACCTTTTGACAGTAGTACAACAACCTGTGCCCAAAACACTGACAAATACAGAGAGGAAAGGTAAAGAAATCGCTCCCCAAACTCGAGAGGGAACGAAGAGGAGATGGACTGAAACAAAATGAAAGGAGGAGGGAGAACAAAAGCAGTTCCTGCTGGTTGAGTATCTGAGGTAACAGATGTTCCATCAAGGATGCTACTGGAGTCCTGTTGCCCATGGATGTGTATTGCAGCTTCCTGTGTTTTGTACCAGAAATGTCTTACAAGAGGTTCAAAAACCTGGAGGAGGAGCAGAGGGGGGGCCCTACCGGTGGTGTCAGTGCTGAGGTGAGCAGGACCTGGCTTGTCACACCCAGAGCTGGCCTTGGAGCACTGCACCCGCCTGCCTTGGGTATTTCCATGTTTCTGGTGGGGTTTGGGAATAGCCCAGGAATATGGCAGCGCTGGTTGAGCACCCCCCGTGGGCCTGGGCTGAGGGGGAGCGTGAGCAGAGTCGTGCAGGACGGGGACAGGAACTTCTCAGCCTCTCACACAGAAACAACACCTGGGGCTCAGGGGCCACTCCAGGGCCATCCCTGCACTTGGAGCCAGGGGACAGGCAGGGCCAATGCCACGGTATTCCCTAGCACCAGGCTCCCTGGATCCTGCCCTGGCAGCTCAACTCAGTCAATGCTCCAGAAGCGAAAGCAGAATTCATGTCCAAACCCCTGTGAGAGCAGCTGGACAGGACAGCCCAGGGGAGACCAGTCTGACCGGTTCAAAAGCATTTCCAAGGAGCAGCCTGTTCTCAGGGACGCTACATCACGCTGTTAAATCCCAGGAAACGGGAGCAGGACAAGAACTGAGCTGGGATAGCCAAAGGCAGAGTGAAAAGGCAGAGGTACAAGTGCTGTGAGAACCCGAGTTTGAGGGAAACACAAACGATGGACGTTTTACACGTGCTCAGGGTTTGCATCAGATCTCAGGGAGCACGGAATTAAACTCCGTTTGCTCCAGTTTTGCTCCTTGGGAGCCCAGAGGTCTCAGGGAGTACAAGTGGGTTGGGATTTGTTCAGAACTCCGTTCCTGTCCTGTGTGTGTGGGAAGTTAAATTAAAACTGGATTAAAAAGGGAAGTGTCACAAAGTGGAATTCTCCCCCTTCCCGAAGTCCCCTTGGAGCAGGTCCCTCAGGCACAGCCGTGACCAACAGCCACACAGCCCTGGGTGGAACATCAGCCCTTCCCTCCCTCCCTGTATCCATCACATCCCACTGTTCCCAGGGAAGAAGTCCCCTCTCAGGGCTGCACAGATCCACGCTCCAGCCACCCTGCCGTGAGCTCCCAGCTGCACTGTTAAAGCTGTTTTCCAAAGACACGGACTGGACAGACAGGGAGAACACGGACACACACTCAGCACGCCAGGGGCCGCTGCCGGGTCTGCGCTCCAATTCCAACATTTATTGGACTTGGAATTTTGGGTGAAGGCTCCGATAAACGTGGGGAGCCAGCACTGGGAGCAGCACTGCGGCACCCAGCTCCCAGTCACCCTAATTCCAGCACGAGGTGTGACATCCTGAACTCCGGTGTTGGAGCTGGGAAAGCCACTTCCACGTTTTTCCTCCTTTTTGGCGAGTCTGTGCTGTGGATATTTGTTACCTCGGAATGGTCGTTGCGCACCGTGAGCACAACTAATTATCCCTGAAATTTCGCATCTGGAATCTGGAGCCAGAACTCTTTGTGTGACTCCAGGATAAACCTGTGGATCACAGGGAGCGTGAGCTGCACTCCTGTGGGATGGCACAAGCTTCGAGTGGAGGGAATTGCAAATATTCCAAGCAGAGAGTGAGGAACTGGGGGGGAACTGAGCTTCCTGAGGTGATCCTGGAACAGGGACACAGCCCCCACTGTTTGCTGGGACAGGGAACACGCGGCGACCTCGGCACGAACATAAATAGGAAAAAAAAGACTTTTTTTTTAAAAAAAAAAAAAAAAAGGAACAAGAATTCAGAGCTTTCCAGTGTCACAGCTCACAGAAAATTAAAAAAAAAAAAAAAAGTCATGCTTAAGTTTTCAAATATTCCTCAGACACAGCAAACCTAAATAGTATCAGTTAAATAAATGGATGAGATACTCTGGGAAACAGAGGGAAAAGCTTTCAACTAAAAGAGGAAGGAAAATTTTTCTCTCAATAAACAGCACTTTTTTTTTTTTTTTTTATACACAACAAGCGAGTACAAGAAAAGGCTAAAAAACACGGCTCTGGGAATGGCCATTCCTGGGGGCACCTTCCCCTTCTTAAATAACACAGGGATGGGGAATAACATCATTTACAAAACACGGAGCGGTTCATTATCCCAATTAGTGTTGTCGACGATAATTTAGGAGGTGGAACTGAGGTATACCTGGTTTTGAGGGAGGTTAAGTAATACTTGGAAGCCTCTTTGCTCTATCCCATTGATTCCTCTCGTTTCTGTACACGGAACAGCAGCACACGGAACATTCACAAGCTGTGTCGTAGTCGCGTCACAACGAGTCATTTTGATAGAAACGACGACGAATGCAATAAAAACAAAGTTACCCTTTTTTTGTCGGTTTGCTTTTCTTCTTCTGTCGTTTTTGTTTGTTTTTTTTTAAATCTGAAATGAAATGGTTTTTTGTTTTTTTTTTTTTTTTTTTTTTTTTTTCTTTTTCTTGAATTTAAAAAAAATAACAGCAGTTCGTTTAAGGAATTAGTCTCTTCTGCCAGGGATTAAGAAATCGGGTGTCAGTGTTTAAAACGCTCGTTAAGCCCCGACAGGTCCATATTCTTCATGTGAGTCCCTCGTCGGCACGTGAGGGGTCCGGTCACGTCCTTCAGGTGTGAGCAGGGAATGCAGGAAGTCTCATGGATCCACGCCGGGGAGGAGGAAGGGGCAAACAAAGGAGAAACACCTCTTGGTGATGTTCCAGAGAGACTTACCATCCGCTCTTCCCGCCGGCACGGCAGCGACGCCGGCAGCCCGCGCGCCGGAGCAGCTCCGCCCAAGAGTCCCGCGGTCACTTCCATGACCAGTGCAACTATCATAGACTGGATTCTTTGGGAGGAAAGTCCACGTTCGTCACCATTGTGACCACAGTCACGATGTCCTCTGTGGTTATAATGTTAGTCAGTTTTTGCATCTGGATGATCCTCTCCTCCACGCAGCCGGCGGAGAGCCGCGCCTCGGCGTCGTGATCCCAGCACTCCTCGATGGTCTCGCACAGCATCGCCATTCCCTGCGGAGCCGGGGAGAAACCGGCACACGCCGAGTCAGGGAGGGGGCACCCAGCTAAGAACAAGGCATTTAAGGTCCACCTGCCAAATGTGAACCCTGGTGTCCAACAGGACATGGTGCTGGATTTGGGTTTGATGGGACAGGACACGGTGTTGGACTCAGGTTTGATGGGGCCTCGGGTCTGCTTCGCTATATTATTATTTATTATCATTATTATGTTATTATTATTATTATATTACGATGTGTTATATTATTATGTATTATATTATTCTTTCTGATATTTAAACACTGTCACAGCAGTGAGCAAACCCTTCCCCTGCAGTGCTGCAGTATCATCACAGCATTCTAGAGGTGAAATTCTTCAGCCACCAAGTGTCACTTCAGTGAAAAGTGACTCAGGAATCTCTTCTTTCCCCCAAAACCTGACAGAATCATTTTCTAACACTCAAAGAGTATTCTCAGATGAAGAACACACTAATCTGCAGCCCATTTAATTCCTACTAGAATTATTAAATTCTCCCCAGGACACCCCACGGGCTGGGCAGGATTCGGGCAGGATTCGGGGCGGTTGGTTGGTAACACTTACAGAATGTTTCTGCCAACACTCCCTCAGGACAGGCCTCTTCTTTTTATGGACCACCACCTCCTGCATGTCCTCCAGGGAGGGGTGCTGGCCAATCTCCTCCTCAAAGGGCAGCATGTACTCATCCACGGGGCCTGCACAGGGAAAAGGGGTTCATCAGCATCCTGGAATGGCTCGGAAGGGACCTCAAAGCCACCTGGAGCAGGGACACTCTCCTGGAGAGGTTGCTGGGACACACAACATCCCAGCCCAGGGAAAACAGTCACATTCACTCAGTGGAATTTACTGCTTGAAAGACTGACTCAAAATGCAACTTTTCCAAAAACATTTAGAGCCTTTTCCCTTACCCTTGGCTAATCCTGACTTGTCCTGGCGCCCACACAAGATTTCTCTTTCAAAACACTTGTAATTCGTGCTTCAAACTGAACCTGGGGCTGAACTCGGAACAAACCAGGTGTATTAACTCCAGGAGTTCCACAGGAATTGTCTCTCTTCCTTACCAGGGAAGGCAGGAGGATTCCACGTGTCAGAACGCTTTTCCTGGGATGCCAAACCCTGGAGACGCTGAAGGCCAGTGACCCCCCATGAGTTCTGCCCACCACCCGATCCCGTTTGCTGACACACACCCGGCCTCCCTGCAGCCCTCCCGAATCCCAGGGAAGGATCCCAGGGCAGGATCCCCCACCCCAGCCCGTGCCGTACCGTCGGAGGCCGTGCAGCGCGAGGCCAGTTCCCAGAGCACCAGTCCCATGGCGTACATGTCGATCCTCAGGAACGCGTCCCTCTGGAAGTTGATGGCGCCTTCCAGGACCTCCGGGGCCATGTACCGCCGGGTGCCCACCTGGAGGGGCGGGAATGGCCGGGATGAAACATTCCCGGGCCTAGGCCTTGCTGAGGACTAAAGCTTGGAACTTTCATCCCTTAAGTTTCTCCACGTTAACGAATAAAACATCGTAAGATTCTTATCCGAATCCTTCTCCAGCGGGATGAAATAAGGGAGAGAGGCCACGCAATGAGCCTGAGGGGGAATTTTCTGGATGCTGGAGATTCCTGGGAATAAATGGGGATTTACCTGCCCGTGGGTGTCTCCTGCAGATTTCCCAGCCTCGAACTTCAGAGCCAGCCCGAAATCAGCAATGCAGGCAGTGAGGTTGTTCTTCAGCAGCACGTTCTTGCTTTTGATGTCCCTGCCAAGGGAAAGGGAAGACCCCGAAATTAGGGATCTAGAACAGGGAATACTGATGGAATTCCAAGGAAAAAGGAACATCATAACCCGGCATTATGGTGTGGGAGGTAAGAAAATGATAAAGAGGGAGATAATTTAAACAACAATCAATATAAATGCTATTATTTATAATATAATAATATACACATACAATATACATTTATAATATATAATATAAATTTATAATATATATTTATACTATAATAATATAAATTTATAATATATATTACAAATTATATAACATTGATTTATATATAATTTATATATAGATAGAAATATATAACAAATATAATATATAAAGAAGTGATATGATATTAATACAATAAAACAAAGAACATTGTATGAAAGGTAAGAAAATTATAATGAAATAGGTAATTTAAACAATGAATACAAATATTTGTAATATAATATATATTACATTATATATAATATAATATATATTATTATATTATATATACTATATATACTATATATACTATATATCAGTACTATACATTATATATAATATATATCAATTATATATTGATATATAATATCAATACATTACTATACATTATATATAATTTATATCAGTTTATATATAAATTTATATAACAAATACATAAAATATTTTATGTAATAATATAAACCAAAGAATGATTAAGAAATAGATAATTTAAATGAGAACACAAATATTACTTACAATATGACATATACAATATATAATATATATTATATTAACGTAATATTAATTTATATATTTATATATAAATATATATAAGTACAATATAGAACAAATATATAAAATAATAGAATATTAATAGAAATATAAAATTTATACTATATATAATAAGGTATATATATTATATATCAATATATAACTGTGTATATAAAATATATATATAAAATATGCCTATAAATATTATATATAAAATATGCATATATAAAAATCTATCTATATATTTAAAAATATGTATTTATATATAAATATATATAAATATATACATATAAAATATATATAGTATATAAAATATATAATATATTATGTAATATATAATGTGTGAATATATAATATATAGTATATATATTATATAACATATAAAAATATATATATATAAATATATAATTATTATATATAAATATGTCTATATTATATATAATTCGATATGATTTTATTATAAATAAAAATGAATACAAATAAAATAATAATAAACCCTTGGATCACCCTTGCCCATCTTCATCCTTATGGGAACAAATGAGACAGCAACTGGGGCTAATGTTGTGCCTGCTTTTGGAATAAACCCGGCTGGGTGATGGCTCTGTGGATACCTGGATCCATGGATGCATGGACAGCAGGTGCCAGGGCAGTGCCAAGGCAGCTGGAATTCCATGTTAGGAATTAATTAGGGCCTGGCCTGTGCCTGCTGGGCCAGCAGGGAACAACCCCTTGGCAAGGGGCACCGGGCTGGTCCCTCCCAGGAGCCACAGAGCCCGTCCCTGGGGATGCAGAGCCCGTCCCTGGGGATGCAGAGCCCGTCCCTGGGGATGCAGAGCCCGTCCCTGGGGATCCAGAGCCCGTCCCTGGGGATGCAGAGCCCATCCCTGGGGATGCAGGAGTACCTGTGGGAGATGGCGGGTTTGTGGCCGTCCTTGAGCCCCGGGATGTCCTCGTGCAGGTAGGCCAGGCCCCGCGCCATGGTCTGCGCGATGTGGCACAGCTCCGTCCACGACACCACGTTGGCCTTCAGGAAATCCGTCAGGGAGCCCTGCGGGAACAGGGAGAGCGGCCACGGGGCCGGGTCAGGGCTCCTTCGCTCTGGGAACACCCCGGGATCTTGGGGAGCCGGGGGGGAACAGCTGTAGGGCCTCTGGCTGACAGCCTGGCCTTCCTTATGGACAGCAACACTGTCACAGGGAAACACACTCTGAAGAAATGTGGAGTCAAAATGGTTCAACAGAAAACACTGGATGTATTTTTAGATAATCCTGTTTGTGTTCCTCACTGTTTATCACCACAGAATTCATCTGGGTGGCTTTGATTTTAGAGATCATCGACTAACCCGAGGAGAACAAAAACAAACCCCCACGAGCTCTGCAAGGTGGGGTTTGTTTAACTCACAGGTTTGTGGGGCATATCCACAAATACCCTAAAAAGTATCCTAAAGAGCAAGGAAAAAAGGCGGAATTAATTTTTGTTTGTTTGTTTGTTTTCTGGTAAATCAAACCTGACAGCTTTCTCAGCTGTCTGAAAATAAACTGAAGTCATTTCACACCCAACCAAAGCGACCAGCGAGCGAGAACTGTTTTAGATTTTGTGTTTTAGCTGCCCAGATTCCACATTTGTGGAACGTTCCCGGGGCTGCTCCTGCTCTGCAGGTGCCCTGGTGCCCTGGGCTCCGTGCCCACCTTCTCGTGGAAGGCCGTGATGAGCCAGAGGTCCACGTCAGTGCTGCTGCCCCTCTTGGCTTAATCCATCCCATTTGTGTTTCTCACTGTGGTTCTCACAATAAAATCGATTTTGATTTTATAGATTTTATAGATTTTATAGACTATCAAGTCTTGGCACAACAGAATTCATCGGTGTGGCTTTGATTTTAGAGACTATCAACTAACCCGAGGAGAACAAAAATAAACCCCCACGAGCTCTGCGAGGTGGGCTTTGTTTAACTCACAGCTTTGTGGGGGACATCCCCAAACATCCTACAAAATATCCTAAAAAATATTCTAAAAAATATTCTAAAAAGGAAGGAAAAAAGGCACAGTTAATTTTTGTTTGTTTGTTTTCTGGTAAATCAAACCTGACAACTTTCTCAGCTGTCTGAAAATAAACTGAAGTCATTTCACACCCAGCGAGCGAGAACTGCTTTAGATTTTGTGTCTCAACTGCCCGGATTCCACGTCTGTGGAACGTTCCCGGGGCTGCTCCTGCTCTGCCCGAGCCCCAGGAGCCCCAGGTGCCCTGGGCTCCGTGCCCACCTTCTCGTGGAAGGCCGTGATGAGCCAGAGGTCCACGTCGATGCTGCTGCCCCTCTTCTCGGCGCCGATGAACTGCAGGATGTTCTCGTGCTTCATGCCCGGCAGGCTGTAGATCTCGTACTCGTTCTGCCACGACTGCTTGTCCTGGGACACGAGCACAGAAATCCTGCTGAATGCCAGGGAAATGGGGAGTCTTTCCACCAGGAAACCCCCTCCCAGCATTTCAGGTGGCCAAGAACCCGTGGGATTTCTCCCGGAGAACGAGGACCGGCCGTGTTTCTGCACCTCGGGTAGCAGTGGGTGGGGTTGGGTTAATTATGAATGCCATTAATTATTAATGCCATTAATTAATCCATCCCAACAGCACCATGTAGGAACATTCATATTCTTTAGCTTGAGTGGATCTCACAGTTCTGGGCCCAGCTTAAAGCCAGGCTTTCCCAGGGCACTTTTTGGGAACTGAGTGTTGTCTCCCTCGACTGAGGCCCATTTCACCGGCCCAGTCCCTTCACTGGAATTCCAGGTTTGAATTCCAGGCCTTTCCTTCTGAGCACAATTTAATTTGATTATTGACTGGCCAGGAGGTGTGTTTTCCTGTGTGCTTCAAGCTGTTGGTGCTCCATGTGTGTTTTTATGAGTGGAGACACAAAGTTTATGTTTCAGTATCTCAATTCTGTGTTTTTGTTTCCCATTAATTTAAATTTCAATAACAGCATTAAAATATTTATTTTAGTTCAGTGAAACCCTTCCTGCATCTTTCACACCTCAAAGACATTTCGGTTTGGGTTTAGAAAATTAAGTAAAATCTCTCACTGGGGCAAGAAAAGCTGGTTTAATGGGATGATATTAGAAAGAATCCAGGATCCCAAGAATTCCTGCTCACCTGGATGGGGAATATTTTCACTGCCACGTATTCATTGAGGAGCTGAGCTTTCCACACACACCCAAACCTGCCCCTGGCTTTGATCTCCAGGAGCTGCAGAGGCTTCAGACCCATCAGTGGGGACGGTGGGGGAGGCCCAGGATCCTGGAATGGGGGGAAAACGGGAATTAATGAACTCTGCTGGGAATGGGATATCCAGGACAGCACCTCAAATAAAGGCTGGGATCTCGGGAGACACCGGGATCACGGAGCCAAACCCCCACTGCAAGGGATTCCCCAAAAAACAGACACAAAGGGAACTGGAGTGGGATGGGAAAACATGCTCATGGATGGGCAAGGGGGCATGGAACACACCTGGATAACCAGGAGGGACAGCACAGCAGAAACTAAGGAATTGTCTGACCAGGAGGGAAAGCAGAGCAAAAATTAAGGAATTGTCTGACCAGGAGGAAAAGCACAGCAGAAATTAAGGAATTTTTTACCAGGAGGGAAAGCACAGCAGAAATTAAGGAATTTTTTAACCAGGAGGGAAAGCACAGCAGAAATTAAGGAATTGTCTGACCAGGAGGGAAAGCAGAGCAGAAATTAAGGAATTTTTTAACCAGGAGGGAAAGCAGAGCAGAAATTAAGGACTAAAGATAATCAAGCTTTACTTGTTGCTTTGGAAAGAGCTGGAATTGGAATGAGCACCTTGGATGCTTTCAAGGATTTTCGTGCACTTGGGTTTTTTTTGTGTTTCTGGGACTTTGTGTGACCTGTTGAACCCTTCACATCCAGGTTTGGGGATCAGCTCCTCCCCAGCCACTTCCATGGCTCCCAACGTGTCCCTGAAATCTGAGCCCTCGGGAAGAGAGCTGGAATGAAAGCTCAGGGATTATCCCGGCCTGTCCCAGAGGGTTTGTACCCTGGGAGTGAGATGGAGCTCCCACAGGGCTCTCCATGGACCCACATCCCTGCATCCATCTTACCATGGATCGGGACAACTTCCCTTCCTGGCAAAGGGAATGTGTCAGGGAATGGCACATCCTGTATTTCCCATTTTATCCTGTATCCCCACGGGAACAGAACAAAGACATTCTCAATTTTCTTGCTTCCTCCTGGGCTCCTCCTTTGCCCTCCAAGCCTGAAGTTTTCCAAACCCTAATTCCACAGATTAATAACTGCAAAAAAGAACTGAAATTCCGACTGGAGACACGTTGAAATACTCCAAAAAAAAGCAGGGAATCCTTTCCCAGAGGTCAGTGATGGATGTTTACAGCTGTTCCCTCAGAACTGCTGGCTTTGGGTGGACAACAAACACAGCAAAGGAGGTCTCAGAGGGAAGTTTTCCCTCCCTTGGTGCCTTTCGTTCCCTCCTGGAATATTCCAGGGGAAGCATTGCCCTCAGTTTGGAAATACAAATGCTGGGAATTGTTCTAAGTGCAACTGGCAGCAAGATTCCCAAATTTACTGCCCAGAGCCAACTCTGAGGTGTAAAATCCCGTTGTTCCCTGCCCCCTGAGCAACCCTTGGGATTTAAGAGTTGTAATTAATTATTTAAAATTTTGACCCTCCTGCTTTGCCCAAATTTGTGGGAAATAAGCTCAAATCTCCTTTTGCTTCAGTGCCTTGGATTCCCCTTCCTTTCCATGACTCCACCCCCAAACCCTGCTGGGATTCTGGAGGGCACAGTGCCTGGATTCTTTTGGAACCACCAGGAAAAGAACCCTTCTCTGGGATTTGATGGAGAAAAAACCCCTTCCCGAGAGCTGAAAGTGAAAGTGGCAGCGGAATCTGCTGCTCCCTAATGGCCCACTGGACCACAACCCTTCCCACCTCCCAAATTCCTGTTTCCTAGAAAGCCCTGGCACTGCACAGGCTGTTCCCAGGCCCTGACCCAGCCCCTCCCGGGGTTTCCCTTTCCTGGGGAGACGTTTCCACGGAGTCAAAACTTCCGGACTTTCCGAGGCAGCAACACCCTTCCCACCCCCCCCAATCCAAACAAACCCCGGGACTGAGTGGAAAGCAGAATTCCTGCTCTTACAGAACCAGAAAGGAAAGTTCTCCTTGTTTTTTTCCTTGATTTTTCTTCTCGGTTAAAATCCAACTCCACAGCTCCAGGGACTATTTTTACACAGAAACATTCCCAGCTCCAAAGCAAGGATGTCCCACGTGCCACAGGCACCATTATCCCTGGGAGGCTTTCTGGGATAATCCCATGGCGCCAAGGATGAGGCTGGAATGTCAGCAAAGCCCTGCTGGGGATAAGTTGGGATCACAGCTTTCCCCAGCTGTCCAAAATCCAGGGCCCAATTTCCCCTTCCCACCCTTTCCCTTGGAAGGAGTCACACGGGGAGAATATTCCTGAAAGAAGGAATGACTTCCAGGAATAAGGTTTCCTAAAGCACCCTCAAAAATGGGTCTGGAGGTCAGAGAGGAGCTTAAGGAACACGGAACACAAATCCATTAAAAGCACTTCCCTGACTGGGATAATCTGAAGCCAAACAGTGAGTGGAGACTGAAGGAACTCTGACAATTCCTTCCAGGAAAATATTTAAATATTACTCCAACCTAAACCCCTCTACTTTCTCCTAAGTGACATTTATGAACACAAAACGTCCCCAAACACAAACAGAGGCTCTTACCTCGATCATTATATGAAAGGCATGCTTGGAGAGAGGAGAGAACAAGGCAAGAGAAGTTACTGTTTGCACCCAGAACGGCAGGAAAAAGCAGATTATAGGAGATAAAGTCGGTTAGTGGTGAATTAACAACAGGATTTGTGGGGGGGGATTGTCTTGTAGCAGTAATATCACTCAAAATCAGAATTAAAAGAATCCAGCACTGACATGTGAGCAAAGAAAACGGGGAGAGCAGGGTTGTTACACGGACAATTAGCTGAGGTAGTTGATAATTAGAGCCCGAAATGTCCATTCCAGGTGTTACAAAGTGGACTCGAACCCGCCGGGAATTAAACTTCCAAAGGGATGGGAACGCGTTCCCTGCAATGCCCCCAGTGCCCACGAGGGGGCAGCGCCGCACCACCGGAATTCCCGGCACTTTGCTGGGAATGTCGGAGTTAATCGGGAATTTTAGAACTCTCAGATTTGGGCTCCATTGCTGAGTGTTGTAGAGAACTCCACGGGCAGAGGTGGGACTGGGAGTCGGGAAGGGGAACACACAGCCCAACACTCATCCCAACACACATCCCAACACACATCCCAACACACATCCCGACGTGAAAGGTCCTTTCCAACAGGAATTTACAGACTGTGCAACAAAACTCATCCCAAACTCATGTCCCAGAGCACTGAAAATTAAAGCCTATTTTAATTTAATTTATTTTGACTGAACCACCTCAGTGTCACCTCAGCAGAGACACCTCTGAAACTGCTCCTCAGCTTTGTCCTGGAGAGGCCCTGGCCCAGGTTGCCCAGAGAAGCTGTGGCTGCCCCTGGATCCCTGGAAGTGTCCCAGGCCAGGCTGGATGGGCCTTGGAGCAACCTGGGATAGTGGGAGGTGTCCCTGTCTCCATGGAACTAAACGATCTTTAAGGTCCCTTCCAACCCAAACCATTCCCAGATTCTGTGATTCCTTCCCCTCAGCCCTTTCCTTTGTCTGGTGTAACTGGACAAGCTGCTGTTGGAAGAGCATGGAATTCCACCCCTGGATTCAGCTGCCCTGTGGAATCACCCATCCCTCTCCTCTCCCTTTCCCTTTCCCTGCCCAGGACGCTCCGGAGTGGAGCCAACGGGAGCTTTTCCCTGTGTTTGGGCACTGCTGAGCACACACTGGGCATTATCCAGATCACTGAGGGCTCAAGGATTTCTTGGAGAACAGACTGGCTGGGAGCTGGATTTATCAATCCAGTGCTGGGAGCAGTGGGATCCACCAGGATCCCCCTCCTGCTGTCAGTCAGCACAACACCCACGCCGAGGGTGGAGCCCCTTTTTCACTCCTATCCACTAGGGAAGTTCTCCAGCTCCTGAGGAAGATGTGAATCCCCCAGGAATAAGCAAAAAGAAAAGTCTGAATTCTAACATTTTGCTCCGAGCAGAAGAACAAACTGCAAAAATGAAGCTCTGGGAAGTGAGTCCCCTCCCAAACTTCCCACTGGAGCAGCTCCCCCCAGACACTGGGAAATCAGACACACATAGGGGTGTTTTTAAAGGATAAATTTATGCTCATTTAAACCTTCTGTCCCAAATTCAGATTTCTCAGGTGGATCCACACCTCCTCCCTCCACTCTGACAGGCCCAATCCCAAAATCAAACCTTTCACTAAGCCAGGACTGAGGCAAACACGGGGTTTGCAACACAATGCTCTGCTTGAATCAATGCAAAAGCCCGAAGTGACCTGAAGTTCACCACAGAAACACTTTTAAAACTGGTTTTTAATTTTAATTGTGCTTTCATTAAGAAGTTCCCTTCAGGTTCCCATTCAGGGGAAGATCGTTTGAAGTCTGGATTTGTTTTTACTGCTTGGAACAGCCCTCGGATTCTATTAGGGAAAGAAAAGGACTCAAGTTCTAAGCTGTTCACTCACTGCACATCCAGGACTAAATCCTTGTAAAAACCCCTCTTCCCTTGCACTTCTCCAGGGTTAAAATGTTTTTATCTGATATGGTTTTATCTAATAAAATACCTGGAACAAGAACAAGAAAAAACTGTGGCTGGGAGACCGAAATGGGGAAAACCTGAACATCTGATTTAACTTCTTTCTTTCTCCTGTGGTTTTCCCAGTGAGGCAGAGGGATAAAGATCATCCCAGAAATTTTAAGTGCATCCAGTGGATTTAGAGTTAATTTAGGGAATAAAAAGCTGGGTGTCTATAGGAGACGACCCCAGTGAGTTCAAATGTTTCACAAAAATCACAAAGACAGGTTATGAAGGTTCTGTGAACCTGTAAAGCCCCTTTGCAACCCTCTCAACAGATGACTCCGATTTTAAAAACAACCCAAAGCAAACTAAAAAGCAACTGTGTGATCCAGCAAGACATTCCTAATCCTTTTTTTTTTTGGGGGGGGGGAATTTTATCAAAACATGAACGTGTGCTTGCTGTGTGATTAAATCAAACGTAAATAAGAAGATAAAACAGTTCTTTCAAAGTGTTTTACAGATGGATTTGTTAATAACTCTTTGGAGAAGGTAAAAAGTGACAGGTTTTAGGGAATTATTCAGCTTTAAGTGGACAGTTCCCCACACAGCACAGTGGGAGCAGAGGAGGAGGTAAAGCCAAGACTAAATGCCCTTTATCTTTCATTCCAATCCCTGTTTTCCAGGGAATGTCTGCTGTACATCTGACCCATCCACTGCTACACAAACACTTCAAACCCAATCCATTTGCCTCCAAACTCTGCTCCTGCCCTAGTTATTAAATGTAATATTAATAGTTAATCTATTAATTGCATGAATGTGCAGTGGTTATAAAGTTACTAATACTTTTCCCCCTCTTCCCACTTCCTGTGTCTCCTGCTCCAACCAGCTGTAATCAGATGGAAAGTGGGGAATGCTTTATACCTTTGATTTACATAATGATTTCATTTAGTTCTTCAGGCAGGAGGAGCTTTTCCTGCCTTTCCACATCAGCCCTTAATGTCTGTTCACCGCAGGAGCAGCAAACGCTGCCACACCACAACCAGCCCAGGCACCAACACACACTGATCCCAACAGGCACAGTCTGGGCATGGACAGAGCAGGTGATTACCCTGCTTATTAAAAATTTGGGTGTCCATCCTGTACCAAGCACAGGGTGAGGAGAGAACTGCAGGAAAAGGAGGGAGAATCTCACAGTTCTCGCGATCCCGTATTTAACCCTCGCTCGCTTTCCCACCCCTTCACCCACCACTTGATTCCCTCAGGGAGGAAATCCCGGGCTGAAACGATCCCCACAATTAGCACTCAGGGAGCTGATCCTACAGGGGAGATGGAAAGTCCCAAATCCATCGAAATCTGGGTGGGCTGAGGTAATTCTGCCGACAGCTTGCGGGGAGTGCGAGGAGCTGCGCTCGGCTCCTCACGGACAGCAAACAGACTTCCCTCCCGAAATTATGTGCTTGTCACTTGGCAACAACATATGGCCACTGCCTGTCCCCAAATTTGTCTGATCTATTACCGTGCAACTGAAACCAAAACAACTGATTGAGCAGGCACAGCCAATCCCGGCTCCTGGAAAACCCTCCAGCCGAGCGGCGGCACTGGAAACACGGAGCACGGACACCCGGCCTTTCTAAATGCAACCCTACCCAAAATAACACGTGTTTTCACTTGATTTGATCATAAATAGCATCAGCATTTATGAGAGGATGTGTATTCTGGTCACTGCACTGAGTTAAGAGGCTCGAGGTAATTCCCACTGCAAAAATCCAAGTCATTTCTTTCTCCATTTCCACTTTTCCTTCATTTTTCCTGCTCTGCTCTCAACGATTTCCTGTGTTAAGTCTTTCCATAAAAGCCTCCTGATCTCAGCTGAATCTCCAGATGTAACTGAAGGAAGAGGAATTCCAGTACTAACAGTAATTCCACCTCCAGAATCAGCTGGATTCCACCTCCCAGCAGCAGGAACTCCCCCCAAAAAGACCTGGGTTTGGGTGCAGCACGGCCAGTTCACGCCCAAATCTGGAGCCCACAGTCTCACAGTGTTTTAAATAAAACACAAACACCACTAAAACTGAAACACCCTGAGACAAAATAAAAGGCAAACACCGCTAAAAGTGAAATGTTTCAAGGCCAAACAGAAAATACATAAAGAAGCAAGAGGAGAAGATGAGGGGAATGGCAGAAAGGCCACGAGCTGAGCTGAACCCTGCAATTACTGAACTGAAGGTTTTCTTACCATTCCCTTCAACTGCACCTGTTTCCCAGTTCCACAATTCCTCAAAAACAGCTCATCATGTGCTAGGTACCGTCTTCTATTCCCCTCAAGTTGCCAAGATGAATTAGCAGCTCCAGTTTTAACCTCAGCTTTAAGCTCAGCCTTAAGCACCTGAGCAGCCCCTCACGGTGTCTTGGTCACCTCAAGCCTTGTTTTCAGTTCCCTCCATCCCAAAAAACATGAAGAAGTTACTTATATGTCCACAAAAAAGTAATTAATGGGAGAAGGTTGTTGAAGTAAAGCTTAATTTTCTGCTTTTGGGGAGAGCAAGCGCTGGCAGCTCTGAACCAGGGAGGTGGAGACTCAGCCACGGACAGATCCTCCTCAGGGAACGGTTTTGCCATTAAAAAAAAACCCCAAAATCCTGAAGCAGGGCCTTACCTGGGTGGGCACCAGCACTGGGGGATAGGCCAGCTTGTGGTGTCTGTACATCCAGAAGGAAAAGAGCACAATCACTGCAATTCCCATGATAGGCACCAAGGAATACAGCAGGGTGTTGAACAGAGGGGGCTTCGGGGTCACGGGGTTGGAAGTGGCTGCGGGGAAAAGAGGACACAGCTTTTAATAAACAACCCCCCCCAGAGCTCAAACACCCATCAGCCTGGTTTCCTGACAACCCCTGATCCCCCAGCAGACTATAAAATATTCAACTAACACCTCCTGATAAAGGCAGCATTTTTTGGGAAGCGTGGAAACGCAGCCCCCGGGGCAAAGGGGGTTTCACGGGAGGGAAGGAGAATGTCAGCTCTTGCCTCGGCAGGATCACTGACAGACATGACAACAATATCTCCTGGCTCCACAAAGGCTATTTTAATCTCCCAGAAAACGTTGTTTCATTTAATAAACAACTTCCTCTGGCTATTTGGTGCACGAGACATTTGCTGCTTTCGGCTCAGTCGGTGACATTACTCACTTCTCCAGCAAAGATTAGATTCCCCACTGGAAGAAGACAGGCAAGAAAAATCATCTCTTGCTTATGGGGTTTTTTAACAGTTGTGTGTTAAGCCTGGCTGTTGGATTTGATTTGTGACCCGGGAGGAAATTCTGTCCCCCTTTTTAAAGGTTAATGTGTTAATTTGCAGAGTTCCAAGTAGTTTAAAAAGGATTGTTTGAAGGGAAGGAGCAGGGATGATACAGCTTTTAGCCCAACAATTTATAGACACTTACAGCAGCTTAACTATACAATTAAGGTAAGATTTGACAGTAACTCCTCTCTCTAAAACAGACAATTATTTCAGATTATCCTTCCTTCTCACCCTTGGAAAAGAGCTGGAGTATCTTTTAATCACTTCAAGGGAAGAACCTTTTTCAAAGTGGAAGAATCTTTCTGTGAGCACAAAGAGCTTTATCGCTGCAGGAAACCCTTTATTCCTGCAGGAAAATCACCCCAGGATGCTGGGAAAAGCCTCATCCCCCTGCCCAGGCACAGTATGGAACATTCCTCCCCCAAAGTATCCCAGGAACTTACGCTGGGTCACCTCCATCTCCGGGAAGTAGAAGAAGCGCTCGTTGCACATGTTGCCCTCGCAGCAACAGAAAAACACCTCAGGGCTGTCCTTCTTCTCGATGCAATCATTCCTGGGAAAGGGAACAGGGAAATATTGGTCCAGTTCCATCTGGGGGAGGAGGTTGTTTAAGGAAAAAAAATAAAAAAATCTGTGTTCTCGTCTTTAAAAAACTTCAGCGTCGAACGGTCCGGGATGACACAGCCCCCAAAAAGCAGCTGGGTAATTTAAATCAGTTTAAAGTTTGGTATCTGAGGTTGCAATGAAATGTTGTTAGAACAGAAGCAGCGTGGTTTTGCTGGTTTTGGGGCAGAGTTAAAGCAAACCAGCACAGGAGGCTGAAGAGCAGAAATCTGGATTTAAAGGGGTGTTGAACCACAGACCCCCAGCACAGGGTTGCAGGGTTGGGGATAAGTGGGAAGGAGAACTTTGGAATTCTATTGTATTTTTAGCAAAAAAAAATAAATTAAATTTGTACAATCCCCCCTGCTCAGAGACAGGACTTGTTCCACTCCATGGATTAACTGCAGGAAAGGAGTTTTAGTAACAAATAAGGTGAAACTATTCAAGTTTGGGAGGAGAAATAAGGACCAGGCAGGACCCAACCTCAGAGCAGGAAGGGAATCTGAAAATCCAGATACAGCTGAGGATTTTAAATACAGCTGAAGACTGTCAAGGAAGTTTTGGGCTCATCTTCAAAACTTAGGGTTGTTTCACAGAAGCAGCCCCTGCAGCTTCAGTGTGCTGTGATTCCAGGGAACATTTTCTCTTTGATGTTCTCCCTGTGCTGCTGTTTGGAGTTCATCATTCCATGACTCCCTGTCCAGTGAAACCACTGCAGAGATAAGATTTGGGATGTTCTGGACAAACACAGCAGTCAGTGTGTGTTATTAGCACAGCTTAATTAATGAGCACACACAGACTCTTACTCAGTTCCCAACTATTTCCTCACCATCTTTCCCGCATTTTATTTCTTCTTCCATTTCCTTTTCTTGGCTCAAGGGAGAATTTAATCTCAGGATTTCTTTTAGAAAAACATCCTGGGGTGGGGGGCAACTGGATTTGGGAGAAATGACTGCAAGGATTTCTTCAAACAACTCAACAACTCAGGAAACCCAAAGGAAAACGTCCCTGAAATATTGCTACAATAATTTCTAAATATTTTTTAACGAAGATCCACAGTGCTTTTATTTCTTAATTCTCTCCCTTTCCAAACAATGAGTGTTTTGGCCCAATAAACCCACTATTGTATTTTAAAAACTGTAAATGCCATTTCTTAAGAGAGTCATGACCTTTATTCAGCCAGGATCCAACAAACCCCAAGTCCTGCTGTTCCTGCTCGTGGGGACTTGCAGGACCATCTGTTATTAAAAGAATGACTGGAAAATTTAGAATATTCAGTGTCTCTGGAGCTTTTTAACGAAGTGGCAAAATACTTCCATGATTTGGTGAACTGCAGCCACAAAGTGCTGGCTTTCCTACTCCAAATTCTTTGGAAAAGTCTGATAAAAAAAAAGAACCTCTAGAATTTTGCATTCTGGGTGCAGTAACTGTGTTTGCATGGTTTGGGCAATAACAAGGCATTAGAAAATCTATTATTAATGGCCTAAAGAAGCATAAATTAAATACCTGGGGGTTTCTAATAGACAGTAAGGAAATAAAAGAAGGTAAAATACAGTAGTCAGCAAACAAGATAAAGCACTGAGGTGAAATCTGGTCCCTAAATGCAAATGTGCAAAAACAAAGGGCAGCTAAGATAATCACTCAGATATAACATAATCATTCAGATATAACATAATTATTCACAAATAACATAATTATTCATATATAAGATAATTATAAGCTATATAAAAGACAATTATTCACAGACTGTGTATCATCTCCTGTCTCAAGCACCGTTTGCAGGGGGGACGACGCAGAAATGGGGTAGAAAGGTTGAAAATCCCAAATAAATTCCCAATTCCGAGGGAAAACTGCCTCACCTGTCATAGCAGTTGATGTCATCCAGCCAGCAGCCCTGCTTCACGATCTCAATGGAGCCAGAAATGTTCTTCCACGTGGCAAAGCAGTGTCTCCTCTTATCTTTGTCCCCGTAACAAGGCTCGATCCCGCTCCGGTTGGTTTTATCCTTCTCCCAGTTGGCGTTGTAGTAGATGCACTCCTGGGTCTCTGACCTGCCGAGGATGGCACCTGGAATGGGAAGTGAACCACTGTGAACTGGGGTTTGAGGGATAAAACCAACCCAGGGTGCATAAAAACCCCTCTCCCCCTTTTTTAATCCGAGTTCTCCCCTGTTTTTAATGTCGAGTTCACAACCATCCCACGGGCTGGAACACGGGACAAAGAAACTTCCGTCGAGTCCAACCTTGCACAACTTTCTTTGCAAGTTTGGAATAAAACGAAGGATGAGTCGTGGCACAATGCTTCTCCCTGAGCAGCAGCAGCAGCAGAGGAAATTTAAAACACTGAACAGCGAAGGTTTAATTAAAACATCAGCCAAAAGCAGGTGCTTTAGCCAGGAGAATTTACCAAAAGGTAGTTTCGGTGCACGAGCCAAAAAGGCGGCGAGCACGCCTTGGAAACCCAAAGATGGGGTCATCCCACATCCCAGGATGCTTCAAAATAAAGGTTTGTGAACCTGGGAATTTAATTTTGCCTTTTAAATGACAAATTCAATTGATTCACTGACAAATTACAGCAAACAGGAGCGCTGTGGAGGGTGGATGGAATGGGACGGGCTTTAAGGTCATTCCATCCCAAACTATTTTGGGATTCTGTGTGAGGCCCCCCCAAGTGGGGAGAACTTCCCAGTGTGATCTGAAGCACCAGCCCGGTTTCTGCAAAGGTTGTTAGGAGGCAGAAGTGTCACAAAGCAGCAGAAGGGAGGAAGAAGTGCCTTGTATTCCTGTTTTTGTCTGTCAGACGCTGCCAAGAGCGCGTTGGGAACACCCACGTGAGCTCCACCTGTATTAAAAGCATGGAAAACCAGCCCCACTCTCTCTGAGGAGAACGGGAATGATTCCCACCTGAGAGCTGCTGCAGCCTGGGATGTCAGCTGAGCGTCCCACACGGCCTCCTCCCCAAACCTGGCGCTGAGGCATTCCCAAAATAGGCAGTGGCAGGATGGTGGATGTGCCACGGGAGCGGGGCCCAGCCAGCTGGTGCCACTGCATGTGCCCCAGCCCATTCCCCAGCCCATTCCCCAGCCCGTTCCCTGCGCTGCCACGGCCTGACCTTTACAACTCCCAGCCCTGGCAAGGAACAGCTGAGGCACCAGATTGCCCAATTTGGGTCTGTCAGTGCAATAAAGCAGAAGTCCTGGATTTCTCTCACACGTGCCATTATTCCCTCTCTCCCGCTGCCAAGAGGGCCACGGACAAGCTGAGTTTTAGGAAATGCAGAAACTCCAGTAAAATTGGCTTTGCCCAAATATCCTCCTTATCTGTGTATTTTTATAGCCAGGTCTTCTTATCCATGATTTTTTTTATCCATGAATGCTCTGAATCACTTCAGCCCATCCCACTGTTCCAACTGCTGGTTTAGTGACCTTGGACCTGACTGGAGTTTCCCACCTGGACAGGCATTTGCAGTAGGTCTGGCCAGGCTAAACTGCACAATCCTGGATTAATCACTCAGAGAGGAAAAGCAGGAATGTGGGGGAAGGAAGGGAAGAGGAGAAGGGGAAGCACACAAAGAAGCCCTGAGCCCATCTGCTCCAACCAGCTCTGCCACCCCCTGCACAGGGCCGGAGCTCCCAGGGGAGCAGGGCAGCTGGCACTTCCAATACAGGAAATTTATTGGGCATAGCAGGTCCATAAGGAAACTCCTGCACCCATCCTGAGCGCCCATGGAATTGTCAGGTCCTCAGGAAACCAATTCCTGGATCCCTAAAGGCAGAGTGCTGCTGTTCAAAGAAGCCACAAGCGAAGCTCCAGTGTCCATGGATGGAAAAGCCTGGGAGGAAACAAACTGGGAAAGCAAAGGACATTGGAGCACATCACGGAGTTTAGATCCCAGTTGATCTGTGTGTTATCCAGGGCTGCTCTATCCCTCACACTTGTCCATCCAGGACAGCTGCAGCAGGGAAGAAAAGCAGGGAAGCAAATCAGCTGAACTCCTGAACTGCCATTCGGGATCCCCCGGAATCGGGAGCAGGGCAGGCAGCAATCCCAACAGAGGGCACATGGGCAGCCTGGAAAACCTCACCTCAGGAGCAACTGCAAGGACTGGCTCCCATTTCCCAAGCAGAAGGACTATGGGAATGGCTGGACAACAACCCAGGCAGTTCTTTTAATTAAAAAGGGACAAACCCTGGGATCTGTGCACAGCTCCTGAGGGGACTAACACGGCCTCCATTTAGGGAGGGATTGCTGGGAAAAGGCACTGGATGGAACAGGAATTGTCTGTTAAGATACCTCTACATTACACCCAGAGGGGGGGAAAAAAGGAAAGCAGAAACTTCTGGGAGTTTATCATCTCCATTTACTTTATTTGGTAAACCTGACACTGAGCAACAACAGCACTGGGGTCTGTGATGCAGGGATGGTTTTCCTCAGGCTGTAAATAAAATGTCTGAGGCGTGATAACACCAAACTCCCTGATTTCCAGAGGAAACTTCAACACAAACACATCCTCCCTTTCCCCCACGTCGCACTCCCACTCCCAAACACTGCTCTGGCAGCTCGTCTGGACAGAACCAGAAACATTTTTTCCATCTAGGAGTCGTCATCACTGTACAATAATAATAATAATAATCATAATGACAATAATAATAATAATAATAATAATAATCTGTATTTCAGGGCTGCACAACCCACCCAGACAAGCCCATCACTCTGCACTTGAACTTCATTCTATTCTAAGCACTGATGCAGAAATCCTCGTGTGACACTAAGGGACATTTTTATTTTCTTTTTGCTATCCCCTAGGAAATTTACTCTCCATAAAAGAATTAAAGGGTGAAGTTCAGTCTGGTTGCTGGAACTGTGTTATGTTTGAGGTTAATTCTGCACCGAAATCCAAGGAGTGGAGCAGTTTGTGAGTGGCCTGAAGCACCACAGGGCCTGGACACTGGGAGTTATTTAACACAGGCCACGCTCTAAAATATCTGAGTTGTTACAGGCTGTTCTGGAGGAACAGAAAGAACAGGAAAAGCAGCATAAATAAAAATAACACCTTGGAAAAAAACCCCTTCAGCTGCAGCAGCACAGGTACCTTTGGCAAGTTGTCCATCTGTGTTTTTCTGGTTGTTTCCACACTGATCTCAAACACTTTCTAACCCCACAAATACATCTGAAGACAGATACAAATACAGACTAAAAAGGCCCAGCTTTGATGTTTCCACGAGCAGGGAGGAAGATTTTAGCATTCCCTATTTTTTTCTGCTAACCCCCAGGAGAATGTTCCTCAGAGGGAAAATAAAGGAGTTATTTCCAAGCTAATAAAGGTTCCAACAGAAAGCACTTTTCTGTCCTGGTTTTCCACGTCCCCAAACTTATTTTGTTGATTTTTTTAGGTTAATATTAGTGCTATTCTCACCACTCTCAAAGCTCACAGGTCACCCAAGGACTGCACTTCCCATGAGCTGAGCCAAAGGACATTCATTAAATCCCAGCCCAGCAGCAAATAACTCAGGAGAGGCAAGAATGGGGAAGAAAAAGAGAAACAAGGCAGTGAAGTAACAAATCACCTGCACTGCTGCCACACTGCAAAATGTAAAGATTAACCTGATTTCTTTTCCTAAAATAGGACTTAAAAATCAATGAGTTTTGCACCTCAACATGCCTCCTACAGGAAACTTAGAAGCTTTAGTGCAGAGTTCTGTAGAGCACAATATAAACATTATTCTCCAGGATTATAGTGGGGGGACATCAGGAAATCTATATCTCATCATATAATTAGAAAATATTTCAATTTTCTTGCAGTTCACACGTTGCCAAAACGTGCCTGGATGTGCCTGCCCACGGGAGGATGAAACCCTGGAGCTGAGATAACACTTGTGGAAAAAGAGCTTTCCGGAGGAAGAATCCAGAGCTGGAAAACTGAAGGATGAGTTGCCTAAAGGCACCACCCCAAGTCTTAAGAGCAAAGGTTCCTAAATAGAGTGGGAACCATGGAGGGTGATGGGATCTACAACAGGAAATAAGACAGAGGGAAGAGGGAGGAAAGAGAGAAGAATAATATCTGGATTGTTAAAAACCAGCAGCCCCTGGTTTGCTGGATGGACAGTAACTTGAAAATCAACATTTTTCTACTCTAAATGGGTCTTCTGGACTCACAGTGTGGAAAAGGATTTTTAGAGTCAGCTGCTCTGACTTTAAATGGTGTTTAGAGTCTAAACTCTTGATGATGTTATTTTACATGTACAGATATATCCTGGTTTTATTTAAAAAAAATACAGTGGGTGTTCCCCTTGTCCTGTCAGTGCATGGTCCTCTTGTTGAAGGAAAAAAAAAAAAAGCTGGAATTACTGTTGCCATGTGTTCCCCCCCCCACAGTCCCTCCCAGTCTGTCCTGTTGCTGGCACAAATTAATAATGTTCTAACAGGATTTTGTAGAGAAATTCCATTTTCTGCCTTGTGCTTCCGAGTGTCTTATTTAAGCCTGGATTTAAGGAAGTGGGAAAACCCCAGAGCTCCGGTGCCCGAGTTTTCCAGAGTCACTTCAAGAGCAAAGCAACAACGTGGCAGAAAATGGGAGAAAGAGGGTCAGGGTGATGTTTAGGGAGAAATGAAGGTGCCAGGAACGGCAAGATAAAGCTTGTCATCCTCTGGGAATCTCCAGAGGCTTGGAGTGAAGTGTTATTTTTCACACTTCCCAACTTCAAGGGGACACACCAGAACAGGGGCTGATGTTTTCAAGTTCAAACCTGCCCCTGCTGTCACTGCAAGGTGTGAGCAGCACAGAGCACAAAACCCTCTCAGCTGCTGGCTGGGGACTCCTGCAGGGGGGGGGGGAAAGCTTGGAAGACCCTAAAAATGGTGTGTTTTGGAGCCCAGCCTTGGGGCTGCACTTGCCTTGTATGTGCTGGGCAAATGTCCCCCCCCCCAGCACGACAGAGAAGGGGTCAAAGTGATTAAAATGATCACAATTAGTAACACAAAATCACCAGAAGGGTTTAAATCCCACACACTCAGATGTTGGGGAAAAAAGAGAACAGGGCCAAAGAGGCATTAAAGCTACAACAGACA